TGATGAACTTTTTTTTTTTTTTTAGAAGTGCCAGACCTCGTCAGTAAGAACTTGGTCCTTTGTTCACTTCATTTTTACCACTGATTCATTTACAAACAAGGCACAATTCAACACAGGATTTTAAGAAAAATAGAAACTAAAAGACAATGCTGTGCCAACTATATTTGATCCGACAGTAATGTCGCAACACAACTGTGAGTAACTGTTTTCTTTACGTGATCACTATTGCTTTCTGTTAAACAGATAGTTTGATATGTACTGAGTATTTATGCGTTTTTGACCTAAATCACAGCAGCGTCCATCTGTGAGGAATGAATGTATGCTGCTAGCCAATCATAGCAGTGGGCGTTTACTGCAGAGTCTACAATCCGCCACGCCTATTCAAACAGAGCAATGAGTGTTCGTTCAAAAACAGGACTGAAAATAGCCTATTACTTCTAAATTGATGTTTTTTTTAATGTAAAATCTTGGTAACATTTTAAGAGAACCTCGGAGAACAATACAAAATAATAATAAAATTTAAAAAAAGGCAGTTCATGACCCCTTTAATTTTTACTGTAAAGTGTTACGGAGTCTGTGGACAGTCCTGAATTCATCGTCTGTTTTAGGTGGTTTTGGGAGCTTCGGTGGTGACAGCTACGGGGGCAACTATGGAAACTATGGAGGAAACTATGCCCAGGTGGACTGGTGGGGCAACTAAATATACGTTTGCCAAACTAGCCGAACGGAAACCACATGTTATCATAGCCAGACTCTACCCCCTGTGTAGCTTTATGAACTCGGTACATTACACGCTGTGATTCTCTGCCCACATTCTAAAGGGAGCTGATCTGTGGCAAAACCGGAGCAGAATAACAAGGATGCCCACTTGTGTATTTGATCTATTACAGCACCTAGGTTTCTGACTTTTTCTTTGTTAAAAAAGAGGATCATTTGTATGTGAATGCACTGTGCCTTTTTGAATATAGACAGGAATTTAGTTTTGTTAATTTCGTCGAGCGAACTTGGCCAAGAGCTTAATTTTTTGTTTTTTGCTATAAAGGCATTTGAAAGCTTGTACTTAATCAAACCTTGGCAAATACTGGGATAACGTGACTCGGAGAGTCACTGTTCCATTTGAACTTCAAATTATCACCGTCGATATCACAAAGCCAACAATACAAGCCACAAAGTAAAACACATCACAGGTGCTTTGCAGAAGCGCTCTGTGATGCATCTGTGTCACAAGGGACAAATCGGTCTGACTTCCTTTTGTTTTGCGCTCTCTATCCTGGAGAGACACCTCTTTAGGGGTATGGTTGTCTTGGAAAGGCCATTCCAGTTGTGATATTCATGACGAAATATTGGAAACACTCAGTGTTTGATAATTCAAAATGCTGGAACTTCTTACTCCACTTGTTTTAATTGACTTGACAGTGTTATGGCAGCTAGTAAGAACCACATGCTAGCTACTCTTAAGTGGGCAGCATTTTTTGTGAACTACTACTTTTCTTTCTCGAAACAACATTTTAGAGAAGCAGATGCCATTTATTGAAAAACTCCAAGGTTTTTTGATAAAATGTTTCTTTACAAATGTCAGCAAAACAAAAAATGCCTGCCATCCTGAAAGTGAAGTTCAAATGGCTACAAACGGACCACAGAACCAAAGCGGCCGTGCCTTAGCCTCATGACCGCTTTGGTCACATACGCATGCTAGTGTTTTGTTTTTTGGTCAAGAAGAGAAGATGAATGAATTGTTGCAGGCTTTCTTTTAATACAAACGTCCTCTCTTTTCAAGCTGCGCAGCAGGCATGGCTCTCTTTTTGGTAGGTAGAGGCAGCGCGAGAGTTCATTATGAGGCACTGGCAGATCCCAGCCGGGAGTTTGTTTTGCGTTGGGCCGCAATTCATCAGGTTAGATGTGAACTTAAACCACTGGCCGAGGAGCCAGTTTTCCGCTTCGGACGGAAGCGGTCGAGTGGAGGAGAAATAAGGCATTTATCGCAAGTGCAATAGATTTTCTTCTCAAGTGAGTTGTGCCTTGACTTTCTTTTTTTGTTTTTTAAATGATGAATTCAAGCAGATGCACTGACAGTATTGAGAGCTTCGAGTTGAATGGTGCTACTTTAGTTAGGTCTAGGCCCGTGTGCGTTGTGCCCATCGAGTTTTACAAAGTTCTTTTATTGCACATTTCAAGTTTTATATATAGTGCGTGTCTTGAGTGCATGTCCTCAAGCTTCCAAATATTGCGTCAGGAGACCGGAGATACGCAGCTCGTTTACAAAAGGGGAAGGGTTCTCACTATTTACCAGGATTTATTTGGGACCAGGGCGATCAGCAGTGGGGAATTTAGCTGTTTGCGCACAGATTTCTAGATTCTACTTTTGCTGCTAGTTTTGTGTAATTTATTAAGCATTTTTTGAGAAATATTTATTTTTATAAGCCTCAAAGTGATTCTTTGAAAGTTTCAAGTAACTTGACCAAAAGACAATACCTGAACACTGGCACTTGAATGTTGAATGTCACCTGTATGCGTGGAAAATTTCTGTATTTCGGGGTAGCGTGAGCTTTTTAATGTTTCAGACGTAATGGACTTGGTCAGTTTCCACAGCTGTTAAAGGCCTAACGGCAACACGTCGCTATGGAGTTACCAATTGGCTCTCAAAATTGTTAACGGACGGGGGGCTCGGGGGGATGGGAACATGCCAAGGTTTGGATTCAAAAGTCATTTATAAAAAATAAAAAAAAAGTTGAAGAAAACAAAACTGAAGCATCAGTGCAAAAAGTGTCCAGATTCTCCAAATGTGTGCTTTTTTTCTGTCCTACAGATTGGCATTTGTTCTGTTGAAGTTTTGTTTCTGTCAATGTCTGGCACATGGCAACCTTGAACATGTGGTTGATCTCTATTGTATTTACATATACGGCGACTCTGGTATTAGTCCGCTCAGGAGAAGCTGCAAGTATCCACGCTAGCAATAAGTCTTAACGTGTATTGGAAACACTGAAATCACATCCCCTGCCCTCCATTCAGATGGAAATAGGAAAATAGTTGGCTCCCGGAGAGGACACCAGAGCTCCTTAGATTTAGGATTTGCTTTATGTCGTAGCTTCTAGGCTCTGCAGTGCATGAGAAGACTCGGCTGTGCATTTATTGTATGATTTTACCAAAATAAAAGTTTCTGATGCAAATGCCTTACAATCGAGCATGGTTTCTTAAGTGTTTGATGTAGCAGAAATTCGGTCGACTGTTTGTAACTGCAGATCTTACTGTGATCTAAACTCTGGAGTTGTTTGACGTTTAGTTGATGCCAGATTGTTTACAAAATAGAAACTCATTCTTTACTTGGTGTCCCTTGTCTTATTTCCTCTGCTTACAGTGGCTGACACTGCGTTTGCTGGTAACTGCTGAATAATTCAAACAGTTTGTATTTCCGTTATCAAAGTAATAACGGGCTAGTAGTAAAGGACTAGACCGTTTTATACAGCCTGGCAATTTTCAGTCAATGTAAGATTACTCTATTATTAAATGAAGCATTCTTCCTAAAATTGGTAGGTAGTTGTTGTAACGTGTCAGATACGTCAGGGTAAACTGTGCCAGTGGCTAAACTAAACTTGTGGTGTCAAAACTTCACGTTAAAATTAAATGACAAATTAAACGCCCCAAAGCACCAGTTGTTTCACTGTCAAATATTCTAAATCTTACATGTGGTGTTTTTTGCAATTTAAGAAAATGGGAATAATATACAGAAAAATAAGATTTTGGTACTGGACAGTGGTTTTATTTTATTTTTGTACTGTATAAACATTCTCATTTTTGATAAATTTATGTTCACCAAAAATTCATCTTAAACATAACACTGCTAAAACCTGATGACTCGTATTAAAAGAAAGAAAAAGCTTTCTATCCTAAATTATAATTGCACGTTAGATTTATTTCTGTTTTTCTCTTTGCCAACTGAAAAGTGACCCCACTGTTCCCTAACATGAAATCCAGGTGGTAGAAGGATCGCTAATGAAAGTTGTTAACATACTTGCAGATGTTTCCTGACACGTCGTTTACATTTGTTCCAGTATCTCATGGCCACCGGTTTATATAAGGAGATTGCAGCCTGTAATCTGTACGTACTATTGAGGCCCGGCGGGTCATTTCTACTCGCCTTGATTTCAGAGTACTGCTTTAAACACTTATAATCCCAGGATTTTTCTGCCATTAAGTGATGGTTTTCTGAAGGGGAGTGCTGATGTTAGTGGATGTGCACACATACAAACACAAACTGAGTGATGGCACCTTTAATCCATTCATATTTTCACTTGGAGCGAAGCAGTACAGACACGGTCATGGTGGGCAAACTTGTGGATGTACTTTTATTAGTTGTCAGTGCAGGAGAACCTTTTCTAAACATGCTTGACAGGTAAGTAGGTTGGGGCTAATGTTGAGGTTGTATAATCATTTAACAGTTATTTTTGATTATTTATTTAATGATATTGAATAAAATGTTCCGTCTTCTATTGGTAATAAGATGTTCAACAAATGTCAACTTAAAAAATCCACAGCTGAAAGGACCGGTGATGTGTTCCATCATTATTGCTGGTAAGTTCATGTATTTTTGCTGTTTTATGTGTCTTAATAAACATAAGATAAACCAAGCTATGCTAAAAATGAAACAGATTTTCAGTTCAAGTCAACTGATCTCAGTGATTTTGAGAACATTATATTAAAGCATGGTTACAATGCGCTCCTGAAATCCAGTATCTACTGGTACAAATTGAAGGAAACAAACAAGACACCTAGTGTGCTTGTGTAATCTCTAATCTGCCCTTTCTTAATCACCATCATTTCAGTGTGCAGAGCAGATGCAGGACAGAGGGAGGCCACACATTCAATTATTCTTCCAGTCTCTGATTGTGCTCTCTGTAATCTTCCTATAACTGTTGGGAGAATGAGCACGACTCATTTGCAAAGTGATTGCTTATGCTGCATGACTAGCATTTCGTTTCTGTATAATTATAACAGAGTCCTGGAAATTCTATCGGAAAGTTCATGAAAGGCTATTTGTGTCACGTAAATATTAGCATTTCTCTGCAATTTAGACCATGTAGTTCTAGTATAAACCTGTGGTGTGTGTGGTATTCAGTACCGATTCATCAATGTCTGTTTACAGTTCAGTGTGATGAATTCTTTCTTAAAATATGAAAATATCAACATTTTTATCATGAAAATGATTCATTTTGTAACCTGATTTCTTTTCCCAATATGAAATAGTTTGACTAATTGTCTTACACATTGTATATATATGTATGTATTTTAGTTAGTTAGTTAGTTTGAACTGGTCAAGGGCCTGAACACCTCCTTGTCCCCTACATTCTTTACTCTTTTATACCATTTAGTTATATATTTGTAGTTATGTTTCCTGAGGATAACCACAATTGCAAGGTCTAACAACTGGGTGCAACAAAAGTAATACGTAATCTAAAAAGAATGCTTGCCTATTGATTTTTGTTTTGTTTTTATTTGCCTTGGCGATGTTTAAAACCGTATTTAGAAAAGTATATCCTAGGCAACTGTTCAAATGTGAACATTCACACCATGTTAAAAAAATTAATTTGCATATTTACATTCAAGTGTGTGTGTGTGTGTGCCTGGTATTTATCATGTTATGGGGACCAAATGGCAAATGGACATTTTTTTAGGTCCCTATGAGGAAACAAGCTTATAAATTATACCGTGTCAATCTAAAAATGTAGAACGTTTCCTGTAAGGGGTAGGTTTAGGTGTAGGGCAATGGAAAATACAGTTTATACAGTATAAAAACCATTACGCCTATGGAATGTCCCCATGAAAACGTGTGTGTGTGTGTGTGTGTGTGTGTGTGTGTGTGTGTGTGTGTGTGTGTGTGTGTGTGTGTGTGTGTGTGTGTGTGTGTGTGTGTGTGTGTGTGTGTGTGTGTGTGTGTGTGTGTGTGTGTGTGTGTGTGTGTGTGTTTAAAATATGGTTCATTTAAATCTGTCATTAGTGTTACATCATTAAACAATGTTAGTGTGAATGTTGGAATATCAACATTTTTTGAGAATGACCCACATGCCATGTGTGACTCATTTTGTTTGAATATTTCAGAACAACGCCTTAATGAATATACAGTACTGACAAGATGACAATTTGTCTAGTTGCATATTGTGGTTAAATGTCAACC